CTGGACAACAGCCGGGCCTACTAGATGCTATCAGATTCCATGCAGGGACTTTACATACAACATTAGAGGACCCACCATTGCCCCGATTAGTAGACGTACCTACAAGAGCCTGAAAACGCCTGCATAGTGAGGCTCAGACATCAGCTGGCATCCGGAAGTCGATGGCCAGTACGTACCATGAAGAGGGCAGGCACAAGGAGGGGATGGAAGAAGTACGAAGTCAAGTTGCCTATGGACGCGATGGCAGACTGATATGGGGTCAGGCGACAACGTCATCACGGTTAGATAAGTGATTTTGGACAGACAAGTCCCCCTTGCCATAGCAATCCGCCAAGGCCGTTGGGGATGTGGAGGGAATCTAGAGAGAATGTGCATGTTCCCAGCAGATTCCCATAAAGGGGGAATATGCTGAGGAATCCGTGGGGAACATGCGTGGGATACGCAGATTCCCAGCATGTTCCCTGCCACCGTAATCTGGCGCTTCACGCAGTGTGGCCCGGTTCGGCCCGTGCTGCAATATTGACGCCCCTGAGTATGATGTACCACAAGCTGATCGCAGGCTTCGCAGCTTGTGACTCGTGACGACGAGCAAGAAAAGGGAGAGAACGCCCGCAAGGAAACTGGTTATGACTGCGACAATTTCGTGGAGGGTCAGACTACCGTAAGCGAGGTGAAGGTTATACTGACGAATCGCATGCATACAGTCTTACCCGGGTCCTTTGGCCGCCCAATTTTCGTTCACCTGTGTGAAGCACACACACCCCTCCTGCCATAGATCGGAATATCTAGGTTGAATCAATACGGTATCATGTAACTACACCAGAAGTATGAGCACGATTGGGAACAGTGTAAAGGAGATCGTAATGAATCACTGTCGAATCTGCTTATCAGTCGGTCCTGGGTCCTTTGGCCAGTGTCACAGATCAGCGTGATTCCCTTCTATGGATAATAGATGATCTTATCAGGCAATGCCGCCCGAGCGCCGCCCTTCATTCGATGCACGCAAAGCAGAGGAGCGCTGAGTTGTGTGACTTGGCGCCTGATTAATAGCATCTCATTGTCCCGTTGATGAGAACTTATCTAATATCTCTGGGAAGTGCATGTCGATAAGAGTGTTCTTTGTCTCAAACAAGCTAGATATATCCTTTTCACATTTCCTGAAACTATGGAAGTTATCGGAGCAATACATCAGCTGCGATCACTGGAATATAATTCAAAACAGCAGTTTTTTGGACTAAAACATAGTCTTGTAATGTGTTTGAACAGCAAAGGCTACGGAACTTTGGGATAACATACATAAAACCATTATCTACTTGACTGGGTTAACATGTAGGTTGAGACTCTACTCTGGGGACAGAAAATCCTTCAGTGGCCAAAGGACCCATGGTGGCCAAAGGACCCGGGTAAGACTGTAGATCCTGCAGTAGATGTAAGAGATGCGAAGCAAAACGGGGCTCGTCTGTTCACTCTACGTCTCTATCTAAAGCTCGAATTCGTCCGGGATGACGTCCTGTAGTCGACGGCCCAAGACGGTCCCATCGAATGCCGCAGACCACAACATTGTCCCGTCGGGAGTGAAGGCAACATGTGAGACCCAGTTACTGTGATCAGAAAGCGTCGCCAAGCATGGGCCATCGCTCGTCCTCCACACCCTCACCGTCTCATCAGCAGACGCAGAGGCAATATACTTTCTGCATGGGGAGAAGCACGCCTGGCTCACCACTTCCGAGTGTCCATCAAGCGAGTGGACCATGGCGCCTGTGTGCACATCCCACACCTTCATCGCGTAGTTGTCCAGCGCTATGAGCAGCAGCCGACAATCTGGGGAAAACACCATATCATAGACCCAACCCTCGTGGACCTTCAAGCGCAGACATTCCTGTCTCGTCGCTACGTCCCAAATACGGGTCATCCCGCTCAGACATCCAACAGCGACATGTGTGCTCGAGGGACTGAATGCAGCGAGGACAGGACTAATGTCCTCGTCACCTGGCGGCATCTCGAGCGCAAGGCAGGCATCCGATACCAGATCCCAAACACCACAGCTGCCCCCGCGAAGAACAAGAAGCCAACGGCTGTCGGGGGAGAATAGCGGCTTGATGGAGGCCATCTCGGGGAGCAGAGGCAGCGGCTGGAATGACTGTCCGTCCCAGAGTCGTACGATGTCGTCGCTGTCTCGGGATGCAAGGTAAGCGCCGTCGCCGGACCACGCGCAGTCTTTGACGCTGCTCGGGTGACCGTCCAGGCAGGCGACTTCGCGTGAGCTGCCGCTGATGTCCCATATCGCCACCTTCCCATCGCCACCTGCGGACGCAAGGTGTCGGCTGTCCGGCGAGAATGCGAGATCCCAGACCTCGCAGTGGCGGGTGAACCACTCTTGCGCGATACATCCCTCTCGGGCATCCCACAGGATGATGGTGGAATCCTCGGAGGCCGTCGCTACCCACCGCCCATCAGAGGAGACGACAAGTGTGGTGACGGGCGAGTCATGCCCGAGTTTCCCGGCTACTCGCGTCAACGTTGGACTCAAGATCGTGGGTAGCGAACAAGACTCACAGTATATGACGTCTTCAGTGTAGGCCCATTTCTCGCCTAGCGGACGGAAGTACCCGTTGATCTCGTCCGACCAGGATAAAGTCTTCCGGACGTTCCAGACAAGGCGACCAGGAACGGTCAACAGCACGCGATGGGATGGATACGTGAGCAGGATGTTCTCCAGGGCTACACAGGGATCCAGGTTGGCAGTTCGACAGCATTCCCTGTATAGGGTCTCGATATCCCAGAGGACTAGATTAAGATCCGTGATTGCTGTTTGTGTCGCCCTCAGGCTGGACAAGACGTTTGTGGTATCTTGTAGTTTCTCAGTCTGAGCCGGTATCCACCATGTTAAGGAGCACTGGCGGTGTTCGGCTGGCATAGATGATGCTTCTGATTTGCCGCTGAGTCGTATGCGATATGCGACTAGGAGACAGAACGATGCACAAACCAGTATGTTCCCCGTTCGCATTTGTGCTGGTATCGACTGATTGGACCATGTGGACCAGCAGCTCTGTGATGTCTTCACTCACATATCGAAGTATCTGAAAAGACACCCATAAGTCACGATCACCGAAGACAGATGATCAATGACAACACCCACATGTAGCGATCGCAGTTTTACCCCACACATTAAATCAACTTTCTCCAAAGGAATCGGAAGACGTGACTGGATTGCCACATATTCGCAGGTAAGGTTTTCGATGCTCGGGAAGTTTGAAAGGAAATCGAGAAAGGTCGTTTGCGTTGGGAAAATAGCATTCCGGATAGATATACTCCGGATGCTTGTCGCGAGTCGCCTGTCGTAGACTAGAGTAGACAGGGGAAGTTGAACACCGTCCCTAATCACAGACGAGATCCTATCGAATGCGACATGACGGAGTCCGTGGAGGATGGACAGCAGTGGGAATGGAGAGAAATCATTCCACGGAAACGACAATGATCGTACGACAGGCTGAAGGTGTGGCTGAGCTTGGACGGCATCGTAGAATTTGACGAGCTGTTTCGTGCTTCGGAGGACAACTTTTGTGTAGAGAACGAAGAGGCTACGAGGACAGAGCTGACTGCAGGTGAGAGCGATGGTGCGCAGCGTGGTATTGTCATCGGCGCAGAGATCGATGGTCTTCTCGATGACCTCCCATGGAAGCGCTGGAGATTGCGCGGTAGACGAAACCGAACGTAGGGAGTTCGCAACGTTGTCCATGCAAGACACCAATTCTCAGAGGCCAGTGTTCGCCGGAGGGTGGATGATACGGTGAGCAACGCTGGCCTTGAGATGCTGCGCTCACGGTGCCAAGGCAAGCCCTGTCGGCGAGACATAGGCGGTGCCGGTGTAGCGCCTGTGACGCGCGCTACTCTTTCGCCTCGACGTCGCGCTGCTTCGGAGCGGTGTCGGTAGAGTCCGTCCGTGACACAGATACCTCTGTGCAATGGTTCGCATATCGATAGGCCCCTTCGAAACGAACATGCTCAGTTTGGTTGACAAGCCGACCGGTATATCGCCAAATTTACGGCACAGGGCTTCAAATGCAAGTGTGTCCGAGTCACCGCATGGACTGCCGGTAAGTGTATATATATATCAATTTGAGGTTCTCAAGGCACTGGAACTATGATACCCGGAGTATCGGCGACATTGGGTATTTCATGGTTTGCCACGTTTAGAGGTACGCACGCCCAAGCTAGCAATGAAGAATTTGGTGACGACTAGTATATCTCTTCTTTGTTCCTCTGACGTAGCCACTGTCTAGGCATGCACGGAGCCCTTGTATAATGCCACATTCATAGGCATAGAAGGCTTCGAGTTGCCGTCAACCGTCGGGAAACGAACACCGGACAGGTTCCAGTGAATCTCCTTATCGGACGGCGTGAGGGTGAACTTCGAGAGCAGCAGACACAGGATAACCTCTGCGGGATCGAAGTATTAGCGATTGCATGGAGACGTGCATACGAGTACCCACTCATCTCGAGTTGTGAGAACTTGAAGCCACTACACATAGATCAGGACGTCAGCAGCGTTATCTATGACCGAAAGTCAAGCAACGTACATGCAAGCGCGGCCCCCGCCCAAGAATGTCATCCTGCAAACAAGACCTGAGCATCTCAAGAAACACATTCACAGGCTCTAGACGATATACGCACAGGTTGGAATAAATGCCGGGGACCTTAGCTTCAGCAACGCGCTCGGGCAAGGGCGAGTAGCTCGCGCCACGCCACAAGGTCCCACCCGCGTTCCTTGGAGTTCCCCCGGGTGACGTCGCTGGCGGCGTGGCAGATGCACCGATGCCAGACGGAGTCGCCGCGGGACCACTGGTCCGACGGCGCTTGTCAACATGTGCGGAACCAACAGCAGCGTTGTGACCGGTGGCTGCAGATGAGGCGGAGGCTGTCGCAAGTCTGGGTTGAGAAGGGGTTGACAACGCGGGCGGTGGGTTCGAGCGTGCGGGTTCGGGTCGTTCGGGCAGGTCGTATACGGCGACGTACTGGGGGTTGGGAGGTGCGCGGACCATTCTGCGCAGTCCGCGCCTCAAGTCCGGAAGGTTCTTCGGCCCATCGACCATGCCTTCGACGTCTGGCGGGATATAGATCACGCGCTCCGGCCGCACATCCGCCGAGAACGGCGAGTGGAACGAGTCCTCGAGCAAGCTCTTGCGGTACGCGGCTGTGGGCTTCTTGAACCCCGCCGGGGAGGCGATAGGGTGGGGACCTTGAGGACGATTCACGTACGCGTTGTACGCTTCCAATCCGCTTCAGGCCGCCAGTTGATCTCGGCTTCCTCGCGCGTGACCAGGCCGGTGGAAAGGAGGCCCCAGAGCATCATGCCCGGGAGCTCGGGACTGCAACGCGCGCTCGAGGCTCGAGACGGATGTAGCGGTCGTGCAAAACGAGAGTGTCGAATGGCTTCGACCAGGTCTCGGGTGCGCGGATGTCGCGGCCCTTGGGGCGTGGCTCGTATGCGAAGTCGCGCACCTTGACGCCAAATCGGTTCGTGGCCGCCGAGTACTCCTCGCTTGTTGGCTCTACTGGCACTTCAACAGTCTCGGTGGGGCGGGAAAGGCGGAGTCACGTAGAGCTCGTCAGGATTATGTATGCCGAATGTCGGGAAGAATGATTGGGGTGAGTGTGGTTGAATCCGTAGCTTGATCGGACACAGTGGCCGATATGGAGGGGTCAATCGCCAACTCTCCAGTACACTTGCGCTTTAGAGAGTTCGCATGTGTCGTCCGTGATTGATTGTGTACTCGGTGAAAGAGAAGCTTCGCACTCGGATGAACCAGTCGACATATGTGAGAAACCGTTGCGTTCTGCCATAATGGACGGTGGTGGTGGTGGTGGTGGTGGTGATAGTGGTGGTAAGAGTGCAAGCATGTCTGAGGCGAACCAGACTGTGATGGATGAGTTGAAAAGGGCTGTCGTCGCTGTGGCCCGCGACGACAATTGCCACACAGCGGCTGGAACAATACTTACCCCCCAATTTTGGCCGGGCCAAGCCGACACTCCCTTATATGGCAAAGGGCGCATCAAGCGTCCAGCCCATTCTATCCTAGTACACGTGGGCCTGCCGTTTCTCCTTTCCCGTCCGTCGAGTACTCGTCTTCCAACTCGGACTCAACGCACCATGGAATAGTGCATCACACGGCATTACAGGCCTTGGTGAAAATCGGAGCACGTCTTTGGGACCAGGTCATTTGGGAGTCGGCTCAAGCTGCACGCGGCAGGTCGAGCGTCACGGTCTTCCTAAGTAACACTTCTCTGTCTCTACGATAATGGAAGCATTGACACATTGCCCAGGAACCCGCTATAGAATCCTCGTTCTGAACTTCGGCGGGGGTCAGCTTGGTGCAGTCGACTGTCAAGACTGGCTGCGCCAATCTGACAATCTTTACGGCTCACGCTGCAAACCGCCGGACGGTTCCGCATGTCCAGACCACATTCCCAGAGCTGCTCGGCCACTTCATGGCATGTGAGGCACCTGATAGTGAAGAGAATGGAACCTAGGGCACATGCACTCGGGTCTTACAAACGTTCCTGCTCACAATCTCGTATCAAAGCATGGAAGGGTCCCACCTGCCCTCTTCCTCCTGCATCTCAAAACATGGAAGTTCAGAACGTTGAGATCGTCGCCTGAGCCCTGTAAATGCCGTATCTGTCGTCGTTTTCTGGAAGTCCTCGACGCTGTAGCTGGGACTGTGACGGCAAAGCCGGTCCATGAGACGCCACAACAGTCTCTCCGAATAGATATAAGGCCAGAGCCCTGCGTGTTATTGAGGTATTCACACAGACCACTGTCCACACCATGTCGGGTCTCAACGCAGACAATATCACGCAGCGAGAGCAGTCCAACCGTGCCTATGCCAACTGCGTTGACGAGAACCTTCACGAAGTCGTATCTGCATGGTTCCTCGGCCCTCAGGCTGAGAACAGCGATATCTTGGGGGGTCTTTTTGCTGAGGCGGTCGCACTTCAAAAGGCCTCTCGCCTCGCCTACCATCCAGAAGATGGCGTACGTATCCCCGTCCATGTGTTCGCATGCGTTTTCGCTCACCGTTGGATCAGGCCTTCATCACGCCCGCTATACGCGCGTCGGAGGCGTTCAATCAAGAAAGTACGGATTTACAGACACAGGTTCGCAAGACGATCACATACCTGTACAAATTCTCCGTCCCGTTCTTCTCTCAACGCTACGCCGGACACATGTCGTTCGAGACCAGCCTTCCGGGCATCCTCGGCATGGCGTCAACGCTCCTCTGCAATCCGAACAATGTCGCCTACGAGGCTAGTCCGGTCACCACCGAGATCGAGCTGCGCGTCGGCCGGGAGATGTGCAGGATGCTCGGCTACAAAGTCGTACCCGAATCGACTAGGCAGGAGGAACTTGAGGGCCCCAAAAACGACCTTGAAGGATGGGGTCATATCGCATGCGACGGCACCGTCGCCAACCTTGAGTCTATCTGGTCTGTCAATGCTCCATTTCCCCATACTTCTCATCTCTGATTCATTACCTGCAGGGCTGGTACGCGACGGTCGTTCAACTTAGGATGACTCTTATACTAATGTTGCATCCTCTAGCACGTAACCTCAAGTACTACCCGTTGTCGTTGAGAGATGCGATGAAGAAAGAACTTGCGTTCATCGCCTCCACGTTCAAGGTTCCTCTCCCGAAGACAGGCGAGGATGCGTTGTTCTCAGGACTTGACCTCTGGCAGCTGTTGAACCTCCCGGCGACCACGATCCTCGACATTCCCAACCGGCTTCACGAGCAGTTCGGGATCACGCCGACATACCTTGACGAGGTCCTGTATGACTACCTCGTCCAGTCGCGCGGAAAGCAGGCACTCGAGACCGAGTGGCAGATGGCGCACTCCCCTTCCTACTTCATCTCTGCTACGAAGCACTACTCATGGCCGAAGGGCGCAGGTACGGTTTCCCCTCCATGCTCAGTGATGAAGACGCTCATCCTTCATTGCAGCCATTGCGGGGCTCGGCGCTGAATATATGCGCGAGGTTCCAGTCGACCATAACGCACGGCTCGACATTGGTGAACTAACCAAGCGCTTGGACCAGTGCCTCGCCGAAAAGAAGCCCGTGTTCGCTGTGGTCGGCATCATTGGTTCCACCGAGGAAGGCGCCGTCGACCCGCTCGACAAGATCCTCGACCTTCGCGACGCGTACGAGAAAAAGGGCTTGTGCTTCCTCGTGCACGCCGATGCGGCCTGGGGCGGCTACTTCGCGTCGATGATCCGCAAACCCTCGCCGAAGAAGACACCGTACGGGATCTACCCGGAGCCATCACGTGACTTTGTACCCAGCTCGACACTCAGGAAGTCGACTGTCGACCAGTTTCATGCGCTCGCGCGAACGGACTCCATCACGATCGATCCACACAAGGCGGGCTATATCCCGTACCCCGCGGGCGGGCTGTGTTACCGGGACGGCCGTCTCAAGTCGCTGCTGACCTGGTCTGCCCCATATCTCGCGCAGAAAGCCTCGGGCGAGAGCATCGGCATCTACGGTGTGGAAGGAAGGTTGGTGCATCCTCATTATGTCCAGCCCGAGTACTCACTCGAATACTACAGCAAACCTGGCGCACCCGCTGTTGCTACTGCCCTGCATCACAAGGTCGTCGGTCTGCACGATAGGGGTCACGGAGCGCTTCTGGGCGAGGCCTCGTGGTCCTGCCGTCGGGTGCGCAGCATCGTCCCTGACTTCCGGCTGTTCATTCACGTCGATTGTAGATCTCTGCGCATTGGGGAGCCATGTCAACGGAGAAGGACGACTTCATTGTCGTGCCCTTCAACCCCCTCCCCGCTGAGAAGGATGGTCCGGTAGCTCTTGCCCAACAAAAGGAATACATCCGCACAAACATCCTGGGTAAGCTCAACGAAGACATCGTCACGAATGAGGCGGCGAAAGACCTGCTCTGCCAACTTGGCTCCGATCTCAACATCAACGTATTCGCGTGCAACTTCCGCATCAACGGCAAGGTGAACGAGGACGTGGAGGAAGCCAACTACCTGAACAACTCCATCTTCCATCGACTCTCGATCACCGCTCCCAACATCTTGCCGGAGACTATCCCGATGTTCCTATCCTCAACGACGTTCGAGTACGAGCACTATGGAGAGTGCGTGCAACACTACAAGGAGCGCCTGGGGCTCGAGAAGGACTCGCAACAGGACCTGTTTGTACTCCGCAACGTGGTGATGACCCCGTTCCAGACGGCAGGCGGGTTTGTCCAGACCATCGCCGATACTTTCCAGAGTGTGCTGGTTGAGGAAATGCAGGTAGGCTTTGAGGCTCCGAATGCGACGCCGAGACTGTACCTCATACATATAACAACCACAGAACGTCGTGGCTCGCAACACCATCACGCCCCAGCCGCACACTTTCGTGATGCAGGGCATCGACGGCAACGGAAACGCGGCCCTGACTTATCGTCCGTACTTCTACAATGCCAATGGACGCTTCCAGCTTGTCGTCATCGCCCATGTCGAGAACATCGAGGGAAACACTCTGGACCTTCTCCCATGCGACCTCGTGACGGATTCAAAGCCTGGCATGACCATTGACGAGATTTGTCTCCCCGGCAACGTTTTCGAGGCCACCACATATAGACGGTACGCACTGCATCACTAGCAGTACCGAAAACGCTTCCGATGCTTACAGTCTGCTTTCAGCGGTTATGACAGTGAGGGAATTGAACACCCGGTCAAGATTGGTCGCGTCACAGTGTCCGACGTCCGGGTGATCAAGAAACGCGCCCTTGACTCACGCTACCGCGAGCGCAAGTACCCCGACGCATTCGTGCCGTTCTATTTCTACGGTAGCGGGAACAATTACTTCGTCGACCACATGCTGCTGAGGGCTCCCAATGGGCAACTCTCCGCGCAGGTCAGCATCGACTTCGCATCCACCATCCCGTCCGACGCTCTCGAAAAGGGTCTCCTGCTCACCGTCGACCGCTCCGACGCCGCTATGCAACCCGCCGACCAGGACTCCACCGCGTGGTTCAAGGAGGGCGCCGAGTTCGCGGTCAAGGTCTACGTCGATCCCAACCCTACGGACGCGTACGGCCCCGGTCTCGTCAACGTCATCGCGCCCAACAAGCCCGCACCTATTGCGCGCGGCAAGATGATCTTGGGCAAGCCGGTGATTGACTTGCAGCGGTTGAATAGGCAGGACTTCACGACGGACACGTCCGCGATGCGTCGTATGGTTAGTTTCACTTCTCGGGCCGCACACCCGCAGACGAAGTTGGAGTGGCGTCAGGCCGTCACCTCGATGTTCGACGAGTAGCCGCAAGAAGAGTCAGGTCGGTTCGAGGGGCGTACGTTTTGTAATTGTACGATATGTTGTTTCTTGCGCGGCGAATGCCCTCAAACTCCCGAAGTTGTATCATCATTTCCAGTCTCATTCGCCCGACGGGTTGAACGCTAGTCTCAATATACCGAGTCACAAGGTTGAGCACGACGTCCTTATTCTCTGAGTTGTAGGATACACGTTAAATTTCAAGTTGCCCGACATTTTTGCGAATCCACCTGTACCGTAGATACTTCTGCTACGAGTCCTATTTGCCTGCCGCGGCTCTGCCCTCCGTTCTCCTCGCTCATCATCGCTGTCGCCGTCGCCGTTATCCTCCTCATCGTCAGAGCTCGGTGCGTCTGGCCCGACGCCACTCCATTCCTTGCACTCCAACCTGCCCAAACTCGCAACCCGCAGGTTGACGAATATGATCCCGATCGCCGAGGCCTTGAAGCGATGGGTGCCATAACCCCTCACCCGCGCGTCCGCCTCGTCGTCGTCCTCCATATTCTCAAAGTCATATATACTTGTTTAGTGTAACTGCGAGGATGCCCTTCTCGGGCCAATCCGGGACCTCCGCTATAACGTAATTTGGGTCTCATTTGCCAGCCTTGTTCAGCGCACGGTGGTATTCCACGACCGCACTGACATTCTGATGCTGAGATTGGGGCGCGTGGAACATGTAGCCCGCAGCACCACCGTTTGCTGACTTCGCAGTTCTCTTCTCGCAGGCGGTAGAGATCACCTCAAGCTCGTCGTCAGAAGTGGCGTATAGCGTGTAGATTGCGATGTCGGTGCCGTCGTCGGACATACTGCAGAGGATGCCTACTAAGTAGTGACTGCATGAGGTTTACTTGGAGCATGCGGCCGATGGGCGTTGAGTACAGCCGCAGACTAACTCTGCTTTGCACCAAATTCGAGGGGGTCCGACCGCCGTAGACGCGCCTGATAAAGCAAAGGTGGTTCATTAGCAGTTATATATATGTGAGACTTTTGGTGGGCATGAAGCCGACCACGAAGCAGAATTTGTTCCAATCCGTTAGGCAGCCGGAAGCCACTTTCAAGCTGGCGGTTTCGTGTACAAATTGAGGCTGGTATGGGTCTGTCGGATCACAGGGGTCGCATTGTTTGAGCTCAATACCGGAGAGAAACTCTAGATAAGGAACCAGAGACAATTCAACTCCTCATCGTGGCTGCAGTGAAGGGAATCGTGGAACGTCAATTGCCGAGGACTGCCAGGCAGTCGTAGTAGCATTGGCGCTGAAGCACTCTTTCCAAGAATAGGCGCCTCCTACGTATACATAGATCCTATCTGCATACTCTCACCTGCAAACATTCCCCTCATAACGAGCCACAATCAGCAATTCATACCATGTCTCTTATATCCACTTCAAAATGTGGTGCAGACAGTTGCATCAAGTTTGTCTATGTCATATGAGCTCCAGCCAAGATGTAAGGAACTACTTCTTCAACGCTTTCTTCGGGTTTTTCTCGAACGCCTTGCACCATTTCTCCCACTCCTTCGCACCCTTCTGCATCACTTGCTTGAAGTCGTCCTTGACCTCCGACATCTCCCACTGCTCCTCCTCCCAGTTCCTCTTCACCCCGCCCGTCTGACTCGGCGCCCACCCGATCGCCTCAAGCACCTCGGTCTCGGTCGGGACCCCTCCAGCCGGCGGGAACATGTGCGGATCGCGCTCGTGACAGCGCGCAGCGAGGTAGCGGGCGAGTGTCTGGACGCGCGCGGAGGGCGTGAAGGTGAGCTTCAGGTGCTTCTCTTTCTTCGACTTCGACCCGCTCTTCCCATCCTCGTCCCCCGACTCGTCCGCCTGGAGCCGCTTCGTCGTCGAGCGCGCGACCTTCGCGCCGCGGAAGGACGCGTACGCCCACACGCCGTCGATCTCGGCGAGCCCGCCGAACGGCCAGATGAGCGTCGCGAGGACGTCGACGGCGAACGCGACGGGGATGAGGCTGGTCGCGATGACCGCGTCCTTCTGTGCCTTCGATTTGGTGCGGAGCATGCTGTTGACGAACTCGGTGCGCATGGCCTCGGGCGAGTCTTGGGACGTCGACGGATAGACGAGGACCAGTTCGTTCAGCCCTGGCGCCTGTCCTGACCCCGACCCCGTTGCCGTCGTACCGTCCTCCGCGGTCCCGTCCACAGCCCCATCCGCGCCTCCACTTTCATCTGTGCCCGCCGCCTCGCCTTCCTTGCCCTTCGTCTGGTCCTGCTTGCTCGCCTCCTTCTCCTCCTCGCCCAGCCTATTCAAGAAATCCAAACTACTGCTCGTCGTCCGGTTGATCGCCCAGCTGATGCCCTTCGTCGCCCTGCTCTTGAGCCCCTTCCAACTCGCGACCTTCGCGTCGCTCATCTTCGCCTCCCGCACCTCCTCCTGCCACTTGCGCTGCACCTTGTGCAGCTTCGCCTCCTTCTCGCCCTCGGGCGGCTTCGTCAGCGGCGGGGGTGGCGGGGTGTAGATGAGGAAGCGGTCCGGGACGTCGTGCGCGGGGACGTGCTTCAGGGACGGCTTCGGGAAGGGGATGAGGTACGCGATGAGCTTGTGCGGGTCGCGCGTGTAGTGTCCTGGGTCCGCAGGATCGTCGCTGCCATGGCTGTGGCTGCGAGCGGCCCCACCGTGCGAGGGAGGCGCGACGAGTGGGATACTAGTAGCAGGATGTGCGTGCGCCTTCTCGTGCGGATGCTCGTTCGTGGTGTAGCCCGTGTCCTGTGGGTCATATGCGGGGATTTGTTCTGCGTGCGGCTCAGCGAGTTGACCCGGCCCGAGGCTTTCTGGAGGCGCGCCTGGTTCCTGGATTGCCTGCGGCTCATGGTAGGCCGTATGGTCCTGCTTCTGGTCTGTGTTCATGATGGAGGCTTGCTGGTGGGGGAGTGGAGTTGGAGTTGCGCGAGGTTATTTCGCTGCGAGCTATAGTGGGCTGACTGTCTCTGCCCCGCAGTGGCTGTGACGTAGTGCGGCCGTGCCGATCGTCCGTTACGCAACGAGAAAGAGAGCCACGCCCGCCTTGGTGCGCAGCTGAGCTTACGAGAAAGGACGTTGGGCAGCACGCCGGAGTCCGTCGGCCTGGTATTCTCACTTTTTAGACAACGAATATGTGTCAGCGGCAGCACTGCCGTGAGACTCGGCCTGGCGAGCAAGAGCGCTCAATGGCTAGGATCTCTCTCGTTCAGTCCGGGTTGTCGTCGGCTAGTGCGGAATCTCTAGTGACTGCAAGATTTGACAGTACAGTGACAAAGTACTATGGCAGCTTACGTCCAATCGAGAACGCAGATGTAACTGCAACATTGACACCGATATGTTCGCGAACGCACAAAGGACTTCGAAAAGGACTATTCGAGACAAGGTCACTTGGCGTTTCTTTAACAGCACCTTTCCAGTCTGGCAGGGGAGGATGCTCTGGTCGTGAGATGTGGTCTCTGGTCGGCCGCCATCGCCCGCGAGCTTCATGTCGAGTCGAGTACGATGAAAGCCAGTATCAATTGCAGCTCGATTTCAGCCTCGGATTGACGTACCAGGCATGCTTTCCGTGCCCAAAAGAGATGTAGTCGACCGACGTGCTGACGCATCTATGCTTCTCTCGTCTCCGTAGCCGTCGCCGTTTTCGTGCATCCCTGCGAAGCGGAAGGGATCGAACGTGGCCGCATTGACGCGCTTCGTTGTGGTGCATCGGGTGCGCAGTAGCGGCGAGCAAGGTGCCCTTGGAGATGTACGTCCCATCGATCAAGGTGATGTCCTTCATGGCCATCCGCTTAAGGGTCACTAAGGGGCGAGGACGCCTTTGCTTCAGCGGACGGGAGCAGCGGGAGACAAGGTAGAAACAAACTGCGCGTGATGCCATGGCGCCGGGTTGATTCCCTGAGTAGGCTACCGAGCCTCGCCATCTTGTCAAGAGCTGCCTTGGTTCAGCCATCCGTCGCGGTAATAGCCTCGATTTCTTCCCGGAGTGGTCGTATGTATTCGGGTCTAGCAGCGAGGTCGTAAAGAGTATGGGTGGTACTCTGTAGAGATGCGATTCAAGGACCGTATCATTAGCCGGCGGGACGACATGAGGATAAGAGCACCCACAGCAGCAGAGGTGTGTATAGCCGCGAACTTGACCAGGCATAGCCGCTGGATAACGCTAATATTCGGCTGGCGTCTCGTCACGGCCTCATCTGGAGCAGGTCGTTCTGGGACTGTTGCCTACAGGTGAGTCGCAGGAAGTCCCCCAATATCGAGAGGGACAGAAGCTCACAGGCTCGTCAGATCGGTCCTCTCCGAACGTCTGTAGGGCGGCCCTCCTTCTGAAAGCCTTTCGCGGCTTAGCCCACATCTGAGTGTCCGTTACGCTATGGGGCGGCGCCACCTGGTCGCTGCTGGCTGCTCAAGCATTCTATGGATATCCAAACAGTAAATATCGTTGTCGCGTACCTCCACGGACATCTCCAAGAAGATATCTACATGCGGCAGTCGCCCATGTAGTGACACGAATCCATAGCAGCAAAGGCGGGCGCCTGCCGGTCGGACAAAGGTTCGTCTTAAGGGCGCTTGTATATAAGCAGTGGGCTCCGGCCTCATCTACCTCATCTAGGTTGGGTCCGAACCACCACCTTCCTCGTGCACAACCGTTCTTTACGCTCACAAACCAGATGGCATACAACCTACGACCACGGAAGAAAAACAAAGTGGACGGGCTCCGTCCCAAACCCGATGCCGAGACCAAGTCCTCTCCGGTGAGTCTTCAAAGTCAATGCAGTCGAGGCAGGAAAGATGACCGGCTTCCGCTCATGCATCTGGTTCACTCTCATTACTCCCACCCGCTGCCGATGTTCCCGCCAACGCTTCTGGACGGGCCCATCCAGACGCCTCCGATCGCCCGTCTACCCACCGAGCTCCTAGCCACTATTTTCTCTCTCGTGGCTCCCTTCGAGACTTCGGATTCAGACGTCTGGGATGCAAAGACGTGGATGGGATGGGTGCCACTCATGCTCGTGTGTCGGCACTGGCGCAATGTCGGTATCGCGACTCCGTGGTTATGGCGCAGGATCAGCGTCACCCATAACCTGGAGGCTCTGCAGTACCGTCTCTCCCGCGCAGTGGATTGCACAATAGACTTGTTCCTGTCACGCTGGAGGGAAGACAACAAAAAGGCCATGCCTCTGCTGCTGCTCTTCGCGCGCAGCATCCGCTCCGTCCAGGCACCCGAGTTCCCTTGGTCGCCACGGGACCAAGAACCCTTCACGGTCGACGACCTGCCCTGCATCAAACCGCTGTTTGAGGCTCCCCTCCCGGCCCTCGAGCACGTCGATTTTAGCAAGCTGGAGATCCTGCACGGCCGTCAGCTCGAGGCACCTTGCGACCTCGGACTGTCGGAGAAGCTGCATCCCGGTATCCGTCGGTTCGTTGTGACCTCCTACATCAAGATACCTTCTACGCCGAGTTTTTGGAGTGCACTGCGCGAGCTCGACGTCTGTTTCGAGGCGTCTTCGGATCGGTGGATGCGCTTGGACGATTTCCTCCAAGTTGTGGCCGGTGCTCCCTACCTCGAGTCTTTGGTAGTCTTGGGCACCCAGGTGTCACTCCCGCTGAGTAGTTGGGCCACTCCCGCCTTGGCCGATGATGTCCCTACCTCTTTGTATCGGCTAGCCAGACTCCGGATAGTTCGTCTTGATGGCATGCTCACCTTCATCGCCCCGATCCTGCAGAGGATCGACGCGCCCGCATTGTGCGTCCTCTACATCAGCGCCTCTATACCTAGGAATGCCGACATCGCCGACTCGACCAAGCTGCTGTTCCCGCTGCGTCTCCGTCATGTCCTTGCGAAATGCACCGCTCTGTATGTCTCCAGGAATGACCCGTGGGACTTCCAGATTTGCTCGGATGCCAACTGGAACCGCGGCTCTATCCGGACTGCAGCGAGCGCGATACATGTGCCTCTGTACTTCCGTGTCACCAGCTACTTGAAGAAGCTCTCCTCGCAACCCAGCACTGCAGAGAGCAAGCTCAGAACGGTCATAGGCGTGCTGTGTGACGGATTCTGTACCGCGCCGCTACGGACACTATCTTTTGAGAAGTTCTACGATGCCGCCTCCGTTGCCGCTTGGAGATTGCCCCAGGCGGCGTTCCCCGACTTGCAAACCATCCGGATTCAAAGCGAGGATCTAGGGCTTATCCGCCACTTCTTCCTCGCCCTCCGAGAGCTGGCGTTAAAGGGCGGATGGCCATTGCTTTCGCGCTTGGAGGTCGATTTTGGCTATGAATATGAACACAACTCGTTGGGGTGGCACGCAGTCTTGCAGCCACTAGTAGAGGCTGCCCGTGCTTGGCTCGAGCAGGGGCTTGGCCTCGACGACATCATTCTGCAGCGCATGCATATCACGCGGTGGCATTTTGGGCCCCATAAGTGGGCACTCTTGAGCATCGCCGCGCTGTGCGACCATTTCACCCTTCGCGACTCCTTCGTTGATGACGAGTTCTTTTACGACGCGTTGGAACCGTTATCGGAGTTTTTGACCACTGCACAATACCAAGTGTCGACTGGACAGCAAGCGGAAAACACTGAGGACGAGGACCCGAAGCAGGCTGCTACGGATGGCACAGAAGGAGGCTCGTTGGAGGTTGAGCTGCCCGAGATAGAAGGCGTGGTGAGCAATCTTTCTACTCTGCCAGAGAACTCACTAACGGAAAGGTACGCAGCGACGGCTTCGAGAGAAGGTTTTGGCGCAATTGCTGCAACGGTTCCGCGAGTAGTCAGCACTTTCAAACACGAGTCACTTATGTCCTAACTAGCTATCGTCTGTCGTGCGAGCGCGGTCGCAATCGTGTCACAGTGGGTTTGGAGGTCGCTTGAAGGTGTATTCCCAGAAGAAGGACTATTACAATTTGTTGGCGCCAAGCCGAAATGGAATCCCGTGTTTGCTTTGAGTGCCAGTAGCAAGTTCGTAGACTTGAATGTCCGGGAACTTTAGCGGGTGTCGGCTAACTACATGTGCCACTGGCAGGGACGCTGGATTCGATACACCATCGTCGGATTTCCAGCTATAATAATAACCTCGTCGTTCTTCCAGGGTATCGTGCAGGAGAGTACTGCCTTATTGGATACGACACAACATAGGGAGAGGAAAGTCCGAGGGAGCGGCGCAAGCTGATGTGGATGAGCACAGGCTGCAGAGAGACTGAGGGAAAACGTAGAAAGGCTGAGATGGACATACGCAGGGATGGTACAGGTGGCGGTCCAGGAGATTTCAAGGATTGGCAATATCAATGGGTACGCCGTGTCCAAACCTTCGTCGAAGCGCTTGTTGCTACGTGGTCGTCATTCCGACTCATGTACATGTCCGGGCCGCCCTCCGCGCTGTCATGGCAAGCCTCTGGACGAGAGGTACGGCTTCCCTTACAAACTCCCTTCATCTGTCCTGGCACGCATTTGCTGACAAGTCTGTGGAAATAGCACAAATCCCGCCTCATGTACTCGGCTGTGGTGGAACTCACTGCTGCTTCATGAAGTATGGGAACATAGACAGCTCCAGATACTCGGTGTTCCGACCTGCATATCAGTACATCAGGTGGTGAGAAGGTTTGAGCTCGCATATGCAATGTACAGAGCGACGGTATCAGTCCCTCAAAAGCGCGGCTGCCTACACGGGCGACCGCTTGCTGCATGGCAGTCAGGACATTGGTTCAGTCCATTCTGCATGCTATTGAGATAGATCAATTGAATGCGGAGATATTCATGGAAAAGGTACTTACCATCGCTGTTGTCAGGAATGCAGGCAGGTTTCGCAAGCTTCAGCTCGTCGATGGAGTCGGGAGGGGCAATGGGTACCGTCCGCTTGACCTTCTGCTTGACAATCACTGCGTTTGCCTGAGTTCTTGTCCAGGGCAGATTAGATGAGACAAGACGATGTATCCCACCTAAACCCGCATGTAGCCACCCTGATACAGCCTGATCCGAGATGCTTGTTCCTTCCTGCCTGTCGGATCCAGCACAGGGCCTGATACAGTCGACACCCTCCTAACCCATACCCCTGGTAACCCATAAACTCAGAAAACCCATAGGATTTTGGCTTTCCCAAGTCGGGATAGGGGGAATTCGACCCCATAACCCATAGGTCCCCAATACCCCATAACCCATAGCCTTCTAGGGCTCAAAACCCATACGGTAATAGTGGTCACACTGAGATTTTGCTCATCAATAACCCACAAAATACTTGACACATTCTTCCCAGTGTCCTCCCAGTGTCCATCCACGCTTCGACAATGTTGTGGGTAGGTTAGTGTGTTCGAAATCCCATAGCGCTCCCTCAAAGGGTCAGTAGACGCCTGTTCAGCCCTCGCTAACTGGGACTTATCAGGGCGCTTATGAGGCGCTAAAGTTCTGGTAGCCCATAACCCCTCAAAACCCATATATTTGGGCCTGTCCCGAGGGCTATGGGTTAAGTGGGTGTCGACTGTAAAGGGAGACGGAGGTCAGTTACGAATGGTACAGCGCCTGCAAGCCTATCTAAATCAAGCAGGATAGACGAGAAGGTCCCATCTGATCCGACTTGGGCTCAGCACGTGATGGCCGACCCCCGGTTCTCCTGCTTTGAGCCGGCTTGGCTCACATTGTTCCCGTCATCTAATCCAGCCCAAACAACCTGGTGTTCGAAGTTATTGTCCCATAGTGCATCTGAAGGCGACATACAAGTGCCTTGTACTCAATTGCCCTCTACTGCAGCTATAATTCCGAGCATCTCTTTGCGACCCCACCATGGCCAAGTCGTCCCGCACCGTCTCACAAGTCACAGCTTCTGGCGGTAAGGCACTCGTGCTCCTATGACCTCGTAGTTTTGCTACAAGATGGTCTCGCCCAGTAGGTGAGTCTTGTACTCTGCTTGTCAGGTCCCTTTTTCAGCTTCTATTACCAACCCAGGAAGTGCATCCTTCCTAACGGCGGGTCTGTGTATTGGGGTCCAAGGTGCGTTTACTTTCATATGTTTCATTGGTATTTCCCCAGGGCGGTCCTGTCGCAAATTACACCCAGCATGGGTGAGCTGGTTGTCGGTGAGTTAGCTCCCTTGCCAGAGTAGTTGTGTGTCAAAGGTCCAGCGTCGCTTCCGTGTTGACTTTGCAGGATAGGGCAATTGCCCTTGCATCGGCCAGATTCATCGTTGACAACGTTGACAGTGTATCCCAGCTGGACAGACATCTATTCTAGTTAGGGGTAGTGCCCAGAGTAGAATAGCGTACTAGTACTACATTCGTATCATTAAGCGCATATCTAAATAGCAAATTTATCTGCCATCGCAATTGGAGTGAAAAGCGGCCGGTGCGAATCTCGACAGGCGTTGGGTAGCATGTGGCGTATCTATGGCCGGCGGGCCGAACCGTATCTAATCCAGTGCTGCCTGACTATGGTCCCGATGGCCTTGCTCTGTGTGAACTGCCCCCGTGAACAGCCTTGTGAGCCAGCATTGGCTCCTACTCGAACTAGATACCCCCTCCAACCTAATCCAGACTTGGCTCAGAACGCACAAGCACACCGTGGATCAGCTAGGACCATACAATCTTTTCGCATCGAATCTAGCCCAGCTCCGAGACCCCGCAAACGCAGTGAATACCGACGTGATATAAGGGTCTTCGAACGGTCCCTTGCGAAAGGCGCGTCTCGGCTATGAAGCTATACGGAACGTGTTGGCCCAGTTATGAAGATGGCTGTAGGCAGAAGAGAAGCGCGCCAATGGCGCATGGGGCACATGGGTGTTTGGGTATAACAAACACGTGGGTTTTATTACTATGAAACGAGAACGTAGGTCTCGTGGGGGTACACTACCTGGTGTCACTAGAATCATGAGACACCGGAGTACAACTAGGTATATGTAGAACGTCGCCGCGTGATTATACTCGTACAGTATATGTGTAGGATCAAACCGAAGCCAAGACACAAGAATCAAAAGGAGCCGACAAGATGTGGTATATATGTATATATGTATATGCTTATTCGCCAGTATCGTCAATCTATGCTGGAAGGGGTAAATCTGTACCGGGCGAGTCCAGGCGTAAGCGGGAGCGCAGATCCGAGGGTATAGGGGCACATGTGCGGGGTATGAGGAAGTGAATCCTGGGTCAAAGGAACGAATCCTGGGTTAACGGAAATGAATCCTGCGTAAAGAAATGAATCCTGCTTAAAGGAAATGAATCCTGCGTAAAGGAAGTGAATCCTGGATGAAGGAAGTGAATCCTGGGTAAAGGAAGCGAATCCTGGGTATGAGGAGATGTATCCATGGCGGTATATGGGAATGCGGCCGAATAGACATATGCGAGCGAGTCCAAGCAGAAACGTGGTCGCAGATCCGGGGGTATAGGGATACGAGTGCGGAGTATAGGAATTGAATCCTGGGAGGAAACGTATCCGTGGGGTATGTGGGATGCGGCCGATAGACGAACGTAGACCCCGAACCGGATGTATGGCTTTTTTCGTTATAGTAGAAAGCGAGGAAAGTCATTGGCAGACCGTCACGGACGCGAACCTGGGAACTGGGGGGGACGACTCAGGAAAGAAACTCAGAGCCGGAGACAGGGAAAAGGCAGGACCAAGAGGCGATGTGAAGCCAGTGATGCATCCAGACAGACAAGCGGAGGTGTCGGGGTAAGCACGTCGATGAGGGGTAGGCCTCCATGATCAAGGAGAGTAGTCGTCGTCGACTGACGGCTACCGTCCTCGATTAACGATGGGGACCGAGGCGGCAACGCAGATTCGAGGGTATAGAGATGCAAGTCCGGGTTGATGATGGGAATCCTGGGTACGAGGAAGTGTATCCGTGGGGCATATGGGATCGAGGCCGAGATTGCGAGCGAGTCCAAGCGGAAATGGGGACGCAGATCCAAGGATATAGGGAATACGAGTCCGGAATATAGGAGTTGAATCCTATGTGCAGGTGTTGACTCCTGGGAGGAAACGTATCTGTGGGGTATGTGGAAACGAGGCCGATAGAAGAGCGCAGACACTGAACCGTATGTGTGGCTTTGTTTGTTATAGATGGAAGGCGAGGGAAGCTGCTGGCAGACGCGAACCTGGAAACTGGGGGAGACGAGGGAGACGACGCAAGGAGAATCAGGGACTGAGACAGGGAAAGGTGAGACAGGGAAAGGCAAGACCAGGAAGTGATGTGCAGCCAGCAAAGCATCCAGACAGAGAGTAAGCGCGTCGATGAGGGGTGAGGCCTCGATGGCCGAGGAGAGTAGTCGGTGTTGACGGTCGACTACCATCCTCGGCTAGGGATGTTGACCGAGCACCCTAGTAGGGGCCACCGACCGACACCAGCCGTCCCTGGCGCCGAGACTTGACTGGCGTAGGAGGCACCACCCGAGCC